AGGCTCGTATCAGGTATGTTTGTTGGGGTTGAATAATGCTGCTAGCAGTATTACTGTTACTGCTCCTGCTTCAAAAATTTCTACTATTTCTGCTGCTGCTGCTGCTGCTGCTGCTGCTAGTACTAGTACTACTACTACTACTACCACCACCACCACCTCTACTACTCTACTACTCTCTACTCTACTCTACTCTACTCTACTCTACTCTACTCTACTCTACTCTACTCTACTCTACTCTACTCTACTCTACTCTACTCTACTCGACGACGACGACGACGACGACGACGCACTACTTTGACGACCACTACTACACTATGATTATGAGGATTACTACTAGCACTATTATGGCTACTGTTACTACTTTTACGTGTCGTGTCTACGATCCAGAAGCCGAGGTTTCCGAGGGCCACTCCTCGGCTGCAGAGTTCAAAGCCTCGCGCGGGGCCAAGACACCTTCGCAGCCATGTGGGACTTTCTGAGAATTAGGGTGCCTTATTTTGGGGTCCTTATAACAAGGATCCTACTATATATGGTACTATATTAGGGTCCCCTATTTTCGGAAACCCCCATAGTCTCCGATCAGCGTTGAACAGAATAGAATAGGATAGAGTAGTAGATACTACAATATATACTGCAGTATAAAGTGTACTACGACATAGAGAGAACATGATATAAGGGAGGGATTGAATGGGGTTGAGGGCTTTAGGGTTCAGATTTGGGCACGCACTTGCTCTTTGAGTCTTGAAGCACTTGGGCAACATATGGCCGGCTTCGCTAACCAAGGTTATCTGCCCTCCACGCCATTGGAGGTTCTGCCAAAACGGTCAAACGATGCGAACGAAGCCCTGTTTCTCAAAACAGGCAGCCACCAGTACGCCAAGCTGCTGGACGAGCTCGACGAACATTTGAGCGCCTTGTCTGGCTGTATAATAATTCCATTTGGGATATTTAGCTGGTGCTGTCACCAACCATGCAAGATCCTGCCAGACGCTTGCTTCTACGGACAAAAGTGTCTAGCTGAGTCACAGTCTTAGACATGCTCGATGCCAACTAGCTTCCTCTGCAATTTTTGTTGAAGCAAAGCGGCTCGAAGCTAGAGGGGCCCCGGCTTCACCAAGTGATAGAACCAAGACATGACTACTCAATCATGGAGCTGGAGAGCTAAAATGGCTCTCGGCCCCAAGCCTTCAAGACAGAAGCCGAAAGGAGTTGCTGAAATCCCAGGAACGGGAAACGTCGAGCCCAGCGAGGAGTCCCCCGATCGCGAGGCCTTGGCAGATTTTGGTGTGTAGGATTTCCAATCTATTTAATAATATATGCCTGCGCAAAAACGAAGGAGTTGAGATGGTGCAGCTGGTCCCACCATTGAATTATCACGTGTCGGACAGTCTTCAGTGCGAAATAGTGCAGCCGCATTGCAATGCTCTGGAAAGGGTAGAGGGGAAGAGGCGTCTCTGGCGAAATTTTGTGTCTGACGTGGGCTCGGGGTCACATGACCTGCTCTCCGGTTATTGCAGTTTGCGGTTCAGGAGATGCAGACCAAATAGGAGGCAAGTGCAAGCAAGGTCTTGGAAACTCTCACCCGGAACTCTCAACCACCTTCGCTAGAGTACCCGGCTTTGTGCCACTATAGTATACCTGTAGCCTTGGTCTTTGGGTACTTACAACCACTAAACCATCCGAAACCTCTGAACCCATCAACATGGATGGAGTCAGGGATGTGGGTCCAAGGACCCGAGGACATTAAGCCCAAACCTCCATCACTACCTGCGGATCCAGCGATCTCTTGCTCTTCAGCGCTACGCCGCTACACCCTAAAAAGTTGCGGGCGCGAGGCCTACCATGTTGCAGGCTTTGGGTTAAACCAAATCCTCGGCTTGAGATCCTGGCCTGCACTCATACCTCCCCCGGCGACGTATTCTTCTGTGCGTTGCACCTTGTCACCTTTCGCAGGTGCGGAGGCGCAGCAGAGACATCCGGCGAGGTGCGACTGGCGCATTATGAGACGACTGGAGGTGTTTTTTGCCGGAAGGGAGGTTCGAGAATCTCAGCCCGAAGCCCGGATGCTGCAGGCCGGCGTCTCTGCACCTCGGACTCGGAGGCAGGATGAGCGAAGCTGGAAGTCAGCGGTGCTCCTCCGCTTGACCCATATATGGATTTGCCATGCCAGGAGGACGCCGGAACGACCAGCAGCAGCAGTTCAGGTGGGCGTGCCTTTCGTGATGAGCTGTCACCGGAATGCGGTGGAGCCTTGGCAGCTGCGAGGTGCAGAAGTACGTCGTCGAGGCACCAAGAGATGTGCTGAGGCCGGCAACGACAGCTTGAATCGCCTGTCAATGGCGTTCTCGCGGTTCCAGATGGTTCCAGTGCTGGCAGGCTGCTGCAAAGAACGACAGCATTGCAGGCTGCGCTGCGCTTGTGCTTCCGTGCTCGTCACGTGTGTTCATGCAACGTGTCACTGACCAATTGGCCAATCAAGTGCAGGGGAAGCCTTCAAGCGAGCTGCGAGCATCTTAGTTGTCGGAAGTTTGCAAGGAGGCCTGTAATAGCTCTACTACATCACCAGCTTGACTCGTACACTGAGGAAGCTTGACTAAACTCTTTGCAGCATGCTGCTGCCGTGCTTCTGAGGTTCAGGCCGCTCAGGCCTGTGACCAGGCGACCGAGGTGCTGCACACAGAGCGTCGACGTGCCGTTCCCGGATCGTTTGAAACTCCTTTGCTTCAGTGGCAGCACGCCTACCTACCACAATGCCTAGACCCTCAGATCCTGAATTTATGTGTATGCCTGGCCTGAGGCGTGGCGCAGGCCATGCTGGCGCTGAATGCAGGCCCGGACAGGGATTCCCTCTTCTGCTTCCACTCGGCACCACTCGACCCGTGCCTTCGCTTCCTGCTTCTCCCAGACGGATCCTCAAAAGTGCCAAAACCCCAGCCCCCAAGCCTGGCCAACCCTGACCATCGCAACGCAACACGAGGAGACATGCCTGGGATGTCCAGCGTAGACCCGGTCTCCCGGGCGCAGGACTCAGGAAACCTGGGCTGGCTCGATTCGGTCTGCTTGTGCACGTTCTTGGCTTCGTCTTATTCCCTGAGTTCTGGTGGTTGCATGTTCCTGCAATATGTTTTTTACATATGACATATGCGTGCCGCCACGTCTACAGGGGTTCATGCATGAGTAGAGCTCCTGCATGCTCCTGCTGTTGTGTTGGGTGTGTTGGTGTCAGCCATGTAGACCTTGTCATGGCGGGGTTGAGTGCTTCGCGGGGCAATCGGAGCTTTTAGGCCTTCCTGGTAGCTTGTGGACAGTGCCATGAGGCAGGAAGTCTCGGGGTTTGGAGACTGGGATTTTGAGGTTCGAGGCTCAGGGCAATTCCCCTGGGATGTCGCAAGGCAGTTGTCAGTTAAGGTCTTGGCACAAATGTCTTCGGCTGCAACTCTTCCTAAAGCTTGACAACTACCGCCGAGGATTGAGGCCCCGGCACTCCTCAGCCTAAGAGCCGTGAAAGAAGCTGCAAGAGCCCGGTGTTCAAGCTGGGGTGTCTCTCTTAAGTAAGTACTCTAAGTACTCTATGCACGAGCCTTGTGATTTCAGGTCCACTCTGTTACACTGGCGGTCCCGGAGGAGATCCCCTTGGACGTGTTTTGGCCAATGGTCCAAGAGGACGATAACTGGGAGTGGCCAAAAGTAGGGGTGCAGGTTGCGGGTGTGAGGCTTAGAGTTTCGGGAGCAGAGAGAAAGAAAGAGATCCTAAACAGCACGGATCTTGTTGTACAAAGCCCCAACACGGAACAAGATACTCATAAAGGGAAAGCTCATGTGCTTTGGCTTGCAGAGCTCTGGCAGATCGGGGACAGGAGCAGGTCACCGGGCTTCTTGAAATTCTTGGGTTCTCAGACTCGTGACCGGCTTGACAACTTGTAGATTCTAAAGGCAGTCAAGCCCACCCTCAAAACTCTCTGGAAAGCCTGATGCTGACCTGCGATGAGGACATCGTGGGCGCTGTGCAGGAGTACAGCTGCTGCTGTGCTGGTATCAGTGTACCGATCTCCAACTGCCCTTTCTGACGGGTTGGGGATGTTTGGGTCTTTAGTGGCAGTGTTTGGGGATGTTTGGGGCTGAAAAAGTCTCGGGTGTGCAGGAGTTCTATCCGCGTGGCGTGCCCCCGCAGGCCCGGGCAAGAACTGAAAGCTACGGCTGGGGACTGGGGGACAGCGCTGTGCACTTGCAAGACTTTTGGGCTCCACATGGGTGAAACAGATCATGCATAGACTAGAGAGAGAGAGAGAGAGAGTCTGTATCTGGCAATGTAAGTTAGAAGCCATCATCTTAGCAAGTCAACCAAAGCCTGCGAAAATCTAGTGTCCTGTGATGTGCATGTGCGACAAGCTCTTTAGACTCAACTTTGGACCTATTCAGCTGCAGCTGCTGCCATGCCGCTGAATGCTATCTGGACGTATACAGCTTTTGTGACCGAAGATAAGTTGCCCTGGCAACTGTGCCTTCGGCCAATGTGCAGAGCTGCTCGTGGTTGATTTACTCGCAACTCAGACTCAGGATGATCCTTGAGTCGCTGCCTATGAACTGAGGATCACGCTCGGTGTGATTACACTTATCAACTTTCTGGTGACGATTACGCTCGTAGTTCGACACCTGGCAGGTACTGCGAATGCCTTTTCTTGAAGTCTGTGCCGTGCCCTGGTTGAGAACCCGCCCAGCCAAGGATGGGGAATCAAGGACGCGCGCTTGAGCCATGAAATGTGCGAACAGGACACGGCTTGACCTCTGGTGTTTTCGGGTCATCCGGAATGACATGCTTGAGCGGTTTGGTCCCAACAACTCGCTCGTGTCTTCTAGGATCAAAGGCCTTTGGTCCCCTACTCGATCGATCTGGTTCGAGGGATCGTCTACATCCCCGCTGCAATCTCGTCGGTGGCCTTCGTGACTTGCCCGCCAAGCATCAGTTAGTTGAAATTTGCGTAAAGTCGCTGTGTGCCTGGAAGAACATATTCCGCATTCCACTAGTCTTAGTGCGGCTGGTCTTTGCAGAGTGATCTGATCAGGTGGTCATGCTGCGACCAGCCACTGCCTATACCCTTGAGCTTTGCATGGCAATCCTTTCGTGCGTAGTGGTTGGAAACATGACCAGATACTTTCTGGTGATTTTGGGGGAGCCTCCACTTCCAGCAGAGTTGCTCAACAGGGTTCTTTGCTCAGTTGTCTCGCGCCGCAAACCCGTGGCAGATCGAGTCGCGGAAGGAAATTGAAAGAAACTAAGGTCCCGAAGAGACGCTGGTGGTGTGGAACTCCATGCGGCGGCGTGAATGACACATTGCCAGGAGTGGGTCTCATGTGGAGCAAGCAGCCGCACCGAGTCACCATGAAGGACATCTTCCGGTCGAACTGCATGATTCGGATTTTCATAGTGGTGTTCATCCTTGTCAACAGCATGCAGCTTTCTCTCAGCATGTTCCCCGGGTCCGTCGAGATGGACCAAAATGGCTGGTGCACTTCAAACTCTCCATTGACGACACCGGGGCTCAATGGTGCCCTTATCTTCTTCTCCGTCTGGAGCTCCTTTGTCGGCATGGCCGGCTTTGGCGTGGTTTCTGGCTCCATCAGCTCTGTCCTTGACCTTCAACTCCGAAAAGAGGACGAGATGGGCGAGGAGGCGGACGACACCCTGATTCGCTTCTTCCGTGTGGCCTCGCAGTCCAAGACGGTGGCGGTTTACATGCTTCTGCCACTGCTGCTGCCAATCTTATCTTGCTTTCCTATGGGTACCAAGGAGGTCTTGCTGCCTGTGCAAGGCATCACAGTTATAAACTATCAGATGCGAATCCAGAAGGAGACCACGCTCATGTGTCCTGTGTATGATCGAGAAGTTTGTGCACATACCCTCTATTCCATGTTCGTGTCTTTGGGGATGACTTTTGTATCCATCAGGAACTACCGCATCTTTCGGCCAGCAGACATCTCCAGCGAAAGGCTTTTGGAAGTCCTGGCAAGGTTGAATCCTATCGAGGAGACGCCTTCAGGCGAGGACTTGGAGTCGGACGGGACATCGGAGTCAGCACGAGAATGACAGCACACGCAAGCCAGGCAGTCGCTTTTTGTCTGCCGGCAGTGCTGCACATGTCACCCCCTCCAAATCAGCAAGTTGGGATGACCAAAGCCCCAGCTGGGAGGCTGCGATTGTCAAGTACGATTCGGGTACCCAGTTACCCATTTGCTCATTGGCAAGAGGCCAAGGTCCTGCAGTGCACATCACACAGCACAGGCGGGGGTTGTTCTGAGTTGCCGGGTCCACTTGAGCGGATGATTTATCTAATCATGATGTCACTACAGTCAGGAGCGCTAGGGAGACAGGACTCCAATATAGAACAGCCCTCCAGGTATTGGTTGTGTCGTTTGAGCCGTTTTTGCCGATGCGGAACGCACTTTCATGTACAGCGGCTTAAAGGCATTTACTGCTCAAAGTTTCGATCTATCAGGTGGTGTTCTGGCATGCATCGCAGATGTGCTGTCACTGATTGGATTCGCTGCACAAGGGAGTGCAGCAGAACATGTGACTCTGAACCCGACTAGCTGAAAAGGTTCTGGAGCGGGGTTCGTGGTGCTTTTGATTCTTGAACTCCCCGACAACAGGAATTTCGCGCAGCTTGGGCCCAAGCCCATCAAACCCTCGAGGCCTGGAGCCTTCAAACGACTGTAGTAGCTGTATGAGCCGAAGATGGACAGCACACAGGTATCGCAGGACGTTACAGTTGCCTCTACAAGCCAACCATCGCACAGAGAACGCTGAGCCACGATCAGACATGACCTGTCGCCAATGCTGCGGGCCGGGATGCCGGTACCACGGCGACGTGCTCGCAGCAAGATAGGATCGGGGTCGAGAAGAGGGCGGTCCTCCGAGGAGACGAGCATCGGAATACATGTGCAAGGAACCTCTTCATCTTGAGCACTGCAAGTGACCAATCCCCCCACGTTGGCGCCAATTTTTTGGTAGACTAAGACATGGGAAGAAAAGCTTGGCCTAGCGAGACACGCAGGGCGACATGGGCAGCGGAGCTGCATGGGCTGCCAGGAAGCTGCAATGGACCCGAGCTGAGTTGCGAGGTTTGGGGTTTAAAGGGAGCTCTGCTTACTGCTATTTGATATGTTTTGGGCATCTTGGACAATTCTCCTGCCATGAGGTTGCCATTGCTAACGGAAGACCGCTAGCCTGTGCCCAATGCGGACGGCGAGACCCATCGGGGAGGGTGGATGAGCGGCAAACGAAACAGTTCTTTTGCTCCGGCTGCTGGGCCGCCTACGAATCCGAGCCTCAGCTTGGTTCTGGTGTAGTGACTATAGCTACACTAACGTCATTATGGTACAACATACTGTAGAGTAGCACATCCCAGTACGGTCTACTACAGTGTGGCTTAGTAATACTTAGAGTCTAGTCGAGTATAGTACTCGTATAGTATAGCATGCATTTCGCGAGTAGCATATAGAGTATAGAGTATAGGGAAGGGAGTAAAGAGTATCTTGTGTATAGAGTAAGTAGCTGGGTAGGAAAGTTGCAGCGGTAGCCTTGACTGAAGTAGTCATGCGCTGATCATCCTGAAGTCAGGACCGCTTGAAAGAGTTTTTCGACACGAAGCCAGAGTTGGAGGTAAAGTGCGAGAAACTGGCGCAGATGATCTCCAAAGCTCGCCATGTGATTGCGTTCACAGGTGCACCGCGATAGGACCCATCCCAGGCCCCAAGTGCCAGAGATGCTTCAGAGGAAGGCTACCCTGACCCTCGCTGCTCAAAGCATGGACAGACATGGACACCAGAACATACCAGAACATCAGTAGATGCAGAGCAGGCACAGTGTGACAAAGTGTTCTGGCATGTTCTGACGTGGGAAGTACCTGGAGGTGCTGGTGTGTCCACTGGCGCTGGGATCGCAGATTTCCGAAGCGGCACGAGCCCTAAAGCAGTATAGCAAAGTACAGGATAGTATAGCGCAGTCTTTGTTCTTCCTGATACTCTTTCCGATGCATTTTGACACCCATCGAGGTATGAACACCAGCTTGCCAACTGGACCAGGATTGTGGGAGAGACCGAAAGGTGAAACACCATCGAACATCCTGGAGCAGCGCCTCGTCCCAAGCAGTGAGAAGTGGAGAACCCGGAGATGCGTCTCTGATCTCCATTTGCGCATCTGCTTGGTTGTCTTGGAAACCTCTGTGAGTGTGTGTGTGTGTATATATATCTCTATCCAGCCAGCTGCAGCGTGTGCGTCTGCATGCATACATGTGTACATGTGGCAAAGACCAGCGAAAGTAAGGCCAAGTGTGGGCTGCATCCTTGCGAGCACCATCTGCTCAGGTGCGTCCAGGCCAGACCTGGTCCGACTCACGGCTTCCTTTTCAGACTCTGGAAGGCAGCTGGCTTAGTGTTCAGGCTCAGAGGTTAAGGGCTTTTGGGATTTCGGCCGGTTGCCCAAGGCTTGAAGCTTGCGAACCCGCAGAAGCGTAAGGAGATTGCAGACTCTCTGATGTTGCGAAGGTCGGAGTGCTCAAGCACATCATCTCGCAGAATGCCACCTGCATGAATTGGAGGGCACGAGGGTTCGCAGAGCTAGGCCTTCCTTCGTTCCAGCAGAGAGCTCCTGATGAGAAAGGCATATACCTGTAGTCCTTCAGCGCAGGTTGATGGATTGCACCGCAAATCCGGAATTACTGCAGATTCATTGAGCGAGCTGCACGGGAACATCTTCGTGGAGAGGCCCTGACTCGAACGTTCCCAGCTTCCCTGATTGGACCCAGGACTCTAGGCCCAACTTGACCAGAGACTCGCAGTACTTGCAAGCAGGTGTGTCAAGTGCGGCCGCGAGTACGAGCGTGCCGGCTGGCTGCAGTTGATTCAAGAGGTGAAGCGAAGGAACGAGGCACTCCTTAGCTTGCACTCTCCGAGCCAAGGATTTCAACACCATCTGCAGCGGTGGCTTCACCGGCCGCGATTGTGATGCACCCGGATGTGGCGGACGGCTGCGCCACAGTGGTGCAGCCAGGCTTCGAATGGCGCAGGGCTGTAACGGTGAAAGCAGATCATGCACCAGCTTATAGCTGATGGCCGCTCGCCAAAGCGCCCTGTGGTCATCTCTTAACAGGAAAGAGACGAAGAGAGTTTGCAAGTAGTGGAATGGACCAGACTCCAGAATGTTACTAGGAAGCGGGGCTTGCTCAAGAAAGGTTGGGTTCGGCGACGACCTACCCCAGAAGGTGCTGCAAAAGGCCTGGGAGGAGGCCGAAGCCGCTGATCTCTGCCTGGCGCTGGGCAGCTCAATAACTGCATCTCGGCTGATCTTCAGCCTTTTTGGTCTTGCTTTTGGTGCTCGGGGGGGGGGGGTATCTGTGTCTTGTAGAAGCTTGTAGAGCTCGTAGTTGGCAAAGCTTGCAGGTGGCTCCTGCATCAGATATGCCAGCCTGGGTCGCACAACGCAATTCGCGCAGGCCGTGTCGAAAACTGAGAAAGGGCGGGGATGGGCAGGGGCATTGATTGTTCACTTATGGCCAGGTGTTGCTCCCCGAGGTGTTACAGAAATTGCGGAAATGTAATCTGCACACTGCATGTTTGTTTGATGTGTTGTGATGATTGTACAATGCATGGCACAGCGCATTTCAGTGCAGTGGTGCTGCAGGCGGGATGCTGGTCTAGTGATCGTGAACCTCCAGGCCGATCCGTCAGATGAAAAGACGGTTTCGCGCTCCAGCGTCCGAGTGTCGCCCGCTGGTCCGAAAGCGCTCTGTGCAGGCAACTCCTTGTGACAGCATCGCAGCTCTTCGCATCAACGGCATGGTCGATGATGTCAGAGCCTCACCAGATCCTCAACTTCGTAGCACGGCATGATGGTCGGAGTATGTTTGACTGCTGCCCAGCGCAGCCAAACTGTGGAAGGTCATGGGACTGCTGGTTACTTGCTTGCAAAGAAGTCACAAGTGATTCGGTCAGACTTGCTCCAAATAATGTGCCCACCAAGGAAGCGAAGCTGGTGCAGAGGGCGATATTACCATGCCGACAAAGCTCCGGCGAACTTGCTGGTGCATAGGTGCACGCGTAGATTTTTATTTGGTTCTGCTCTGTCGTGCTTATTCTTACATGCTGTGCTATCTCTCATCAGAAAGCTGTCGGACTGAAGCGCTCAAGCTTCAAGACTAGCATCGAGCTTCTGAGCAGAAAGCTCAAACTTGTTCCATCTTCTGGCACGGATGTTTCCTCGCTTGGCGTTGCCCAAGGCGAATTCTGTGGAAAGATTTTCAAGCACCTAGGCCTGCGCCTTGATGCTTCCAATCTTCTGTCCGGACGCTCGATCCACGCAAAAAGCCGTCCGCACGCGTCTCCTGACATCGCCATCGGAAGAAGGCTCCTTGCCCCTCGCGCAAGAACCGCAGCATGAGAACCACTGTGCCAGGTACAAGAAGTCTTGCAGACCGGGACTCCCAAAGATGGTGCGATCCCGGTGGCACAGCGTTGGACCCCAAGTCGCGAGCTCCTACTCAAGCTTTGCAAACTTCAAGCTGGGAAGAGCTACAACGGGACTAAAAGCATCGGTCGCAGCTTCCTTTGCTTCCATGCGGTGCTTTCGAGCAAAGAGCTCGAGTGCAGAGTTCCGAAATAAGTCTCATGCTGCAAGTAACTCTTCACATGTTTCGGTGCTCGATTCCCTGACCCCACAGCCACAGGTCTTACGCTTGAGGAGGCCGAGATGTTGGCGGCGCGCATTCGGCTCAGAGTGCGAGGAAGCAAGGAAATCAGACTGCACGCATTGGCACATGTACAACAGACCCCTTTCACTCGGCAGCTAGTGTTGGAACAACCAGCGAGTGCAATGAGCACCGTGCCAGTCTTCACAAGGCTTTGCAGCCCACTGGTCGATCTTTTTGGAGGGCATACGGACAGGTTTAACAGTCACAGTGTTCACAACGGGGCTAGGGCAACATCCGGATATTTAAGTCGCAGACTTATAAATGACGCACCTCACAAAATTGTTTTGCTGGCGGCAGACCCTTGGAAGTGACACGTCACGGCTTGTCCTTCGATGCTAAAGTTCTGGAGCAACATGGAATTTCTTTGACCCGTACAAGGCACTCCTGTACACACGCACATCATACAGATAGCACCATGAAGATTCCAACCTGTTTGCACAACTGATTCAAAATCAAGGCCTCGCACACCTATCTCAGACAGCCGTGGCTGTGGACCTAAGTGCCTTGCTTGCACAAGACAGGCGGTGCTTGCGTTTTCCACTTGGTCTTGTTCCGTGGTGGCGTGTTCGTGCAGACGCTATGTCCCACCCCAGCACCCAAAACCCTAAACTAGACTACACTGTTGATCCTATCCCTATTCCATAGTTTGTTCTATTCTACAGAATGCGAGGTGCCGTTCAAGAGCTGAAGCGCCTTCCTCGGCGACAGTCCGGCGAATCCGAGGCTTCGGCAAAGCCCTGTGAACCCTATCCTCCAGCATGTGTCAACTGGTAGAGTAGATACATACAGATACCATGTTGCTGTGTACTGTATATTGCCTGATACAAGTCATGACAGGATTCCCGTGATGTTCGTTGGGCCCAGTTCACTCCACGACAAGGACGCCAGGCACGAAGCAGTTGAGACTTCACTTTCCTGGTTTCATGCACAGACTCTTCAGGCATGCATGCCTCATCCGCAAACGCAGGTAAACCGGCAAACCCTGTAGAGTTTAGGATTAGGGTTGACCGATAGCCCCTGAGCACTTTGGTCAGGCTGCACCTCCTACAGCACCTGCCGTGGCTGCACGAGTCCGCTTGCGCTCATCACCAGATGGCTCGGATTGGATCTCCGGAATCTTAGCAAACAGATGGTAGTAGACTGAATAGAGTTGGCATCTTGGTTTTTTCATTCTTCGCATCCGGCACACCCGTTTTCCAGACTGTGGAACCAAGGAGTGGTGGCTACTTGGATGCAGTCCAGAAGTGGAACGTAGAACAGCTGTTCTGGAATCTCTCAACAGTCGAAAGATTTCGCCTATGGCAGATCCCGCAGTTCCTCAAGCCACTAGCTCAGCAGCTTGCGAGACAGAGTAGCAACAATCATCATCATGAGCATCGTCATCCGGATCATCATGATCATGAGTGGCCGCGCACATTGACAAGCAGTGAACTCAGTAACTTCGCAGCTTCGCGAATGGGTATGAAGAACGACAAGCCAACAAGTGCGAGCGACATTTGCTGTTCTCCTTCCAGTCTTCGTGCAGAGTATTGGCCTTCGACTTCGTTCCCATTTTTGCCCGAGGTTCAGAGGTCTGTGGTAGGTGGAGTGAATTTTCCTCAAGATCTTGTATGGATTGTCCCTTGTGATCATCATCAAGCACCCTTGCCTCCCAGCCTCCAAGAATTCTGTCTATGCTGTGGTTTGGCCTGTCCTGGCTTCTAACTGCAACCCGAGGTGGGGCATGGACCGCCTAATGCACCATGGCGCTGCAGCAACGGCAGCAGCGAGAGCCTTAGGTGGGGGCAGCATCTTAGCTCGCGCCGTTCCTGCTACAGAAGACACAGCCGGTGGAGCCCAGGACAGTCCTCTGTCGAAGCACTTCTCGACATAGTGGACGACCAGGTCTGGCCCAGCCACGACAGCAGCCATGCCAGCATTTCAATGCATGCAGGGGCTTTTGTGGGAGCAGCTGCCGCCGACGCAAGTGAAGCTTCCAGCGGTGCAGAAAGGCAGCGGAGGCAAGCTGCAGCATACCGCTGCCTACTGTGCATGCAGCATCTGCGTCTTTTCCCACGGCACTTGGCTTCCTTCTGTCAGCTGTGAGGCACCACCAGTATGCCACACGGGGCAGATGCTTGAATATAGTTGGCTTTATGCATCTTCATGCCCACAGAAAGCTTCAGCATTCTATCTAGCCTGGCAACTGGACGTGTTTGCGACGATTAAACAATGAATGTAGTGTTGTAGAAGCAGTAGCAGTAGCAGTCGCTATCGTACTCCTAGTCGAAAAGTCCTAGTCGCAGTAGTGGCAGCACTGGCACCAGCACTTGCACTAGGAGTAGGAGTATGAGTAGTTAGTACTGCCGGTAGAACTGTTCCTTTCCCCAGCCGTCGTGGCCAAGGAAAATCGCCCATTCCTGGAAACTCGTCGCCTGCCTCCGCCACCTCCAGTTGCACGCGAAGTGCCTCCTGCCTCTTCCTGAGTTCTTTAGCTGTTGTATTGCTAGCGCTTTGAGTCGTAGACTGTCGGAGAGGCCCAACAGCGGAGTCGAGAATCATCGCGGGAAGAGGTGCCCTTCCTCCAGCCGCTGGAGTTGCCACAGCCGCCACCGCCCCCGTTGGCGCAGCCCGCGACTTGGAGCTTTTCGAATCGATGCTCAGTTGTTGAAGACGGAAAGTATGGAACCCAGTCTGCACTCGCTGCGACCAGGCCCTTTATTCCAGTCGGAAGTGCACCACTGGATGAGGCCATTCGCTCGCAAATTCCCCGGTATACATTTACAGAGACCCTTCACCTTTCGAGGCCATCGTGCAGCCAATTGAGCACGAGGACTCACTTTGCTTTAAATTTGCTCGTGACAGTCTGGGAAGTTCGCACAAGGTGTTGTGATGTGTTGTGTCTTGACATCGACTAGCAGCCTGCCATGAAGCCACATGCTCTTTTCAAAGTGGAAGCGGGAGGAGCCACCGACGCCCGTGCTCGCGGTACAGGAGCAGGGTTTGCAATGACCGCTTTGAGTTCTGTCTGACGCGATTGTTGTTACCTGAATGCCGAAGGAACAAGAGATGATGCAAATGGAGGAGGAGACTCCAAGGCACAGGCACCGCAGACGAAGCAGGCAGGGATCGCGCCTTCCCAAGTTTCCAAGCCCTGGCTTTGTTTCCCGAGCGGATTGCGCACGGTCCAGGAGCAGAAGTGGCAGCAGGAGCTGCGTTGCAAATGCCATGAGTCCATCACATGACTCAGTCAGTCACGGCAAAGATATGTGCGAGCGGGCTGCAGAGCTGTGCTTAGATATCTACTGTTACAGTATTCGGGCCAGCTTCACAGACCTGTGCTTGTTATCATAACTGCTTAAAGATGATCACGGTTGAAGACGAGACACATGCTGTTTCGACGACCTGTCAACGGGTGGCTCACTGACAAGAGGTGTCATGAGTTTTACAGGTCTACGGGAGGAAGAAACCTCAACCGAGCAGGCTCAGCCGTGGTTGTAAGGCATTAAAAAGCCCTCCCTTGCGAAAAGGAGCCGCAGTCGATCCCGCACCCGCAGCCGCAAGGCACAGTTGAGTTCCTGACATTTGAATCCTTAGTAGTATGTAATCAAGACAGTGAGTAGTGGAATAGATAAGACCAGTATGAACAACATCGACCATCAATCTTTCAACCTGTACCATGGCATGGTGCACTTGATGTATGCTTTTGCACACACGTCTGTGTAGGTAGACCATTGCTAAATTCTCACACTGTACAAAAATAGCTACATGGCTGCTTGCACCTGTATACTACATTGACTTCGAGGTTCTATCTAATATTTCTGTTCTATACATATGATTATATATATATTGTTTATTTATTTATTTGTACATATATACATATACATACGTGATGTATGTATCTCTCTGTCCGAGTATGGAAAATACATACATGCATACACACATACATACCCACATGCATACATGTCTATCCAGCTATCTATCGACCTATCGACCTATCTATCGATGGATCTATCTATCTATACATGTGTGTGTGTGTTTGTGCTTGTGTTGCCAGCTTGAATGGCCAATATACTTCAACTGCGCAACCTTTTGAAGGGCAAGTGCAGATAACGGCTTCCAAGCATCCAAGTCTTAAGAGCTTCTTTCTTGCATGTAATCGCATGTCTTCTGCCACTAGGATAGCACTGCAGTCGTTTTGACTGCACCTGACCACCCCTCTGTTTCCCAATCCTTGTTCACCAACTGTGTACTGCTATGTCCAAGCGCTTATCCAGGTTCTGGTTGGTTGGAATCTGCACATGCTGACAACAAACCTATGCCACTCAATCCCGTCACACCCAGCCTTCCATGTCGAGTGCAT